TTCACAACTTTTTTGTTTCTTGACAGCAGGCGTAGCTTCAGTAAATCTAAATAAGTTCTTTAATGTGTGTAGGTCCAAGCGCATGTGGATATCTGGATGGCATATCTGAATATTTTAAAAGATGATTTTATCCCAACCACTTTTTATTGACATTGAACTAAAAGATTGAAATTAACTATCAATCTTTTAGTCTTATATTGTTATATACAGTTTATATTTTTAAAGGATGAGATGAAGTTCAGTAAAACAGAGTAGTGTACATGAATCAGATATATTGGGACCAAAGAAATTTATTACGCAAGTACTTGGAAGTCTTTTATACCATTGTTTTAGTTTTAACGCTGTATGTGTCCTAGATACTATGTGGGTTAAAGGCTAGTGTTGTACTAGGTGAGCTTTCGAGTAGATTTTAACTCTTGGATTCAGTTCTCTTATTATATTTGTATAAGTCATTAATAAATAGCTTTACTAAAAATATATTACTAATTCTTAAATATATTTAGTTTGAAAAATGTCATAATTTCTAATATCAAATTCAGTTCATATTTATTCTGAGAAAAAAATAACCCTAGCCCTTCATCATTTAAGCATGGTATGGTATATATACATGCTTCTTAAATTGGCTCTTAGAGACAAAGTGGAATTGTGAGATCATAGTACAACTAAAGAAGGTATTATACAACAGTAGACAACCATTGACAGAGCTGGGAACTTGAGGTGCTAGTGAATTCGGTCTGTCCATTGTTCCTCACATTTTCCTTCATTAAACACAGGTAGAATCTTCTGGTGGGTTTCTGAGCAGAGTTATTCATTAGGCCTTTAGCGAAAAATGAAATGAATGATATGAATGTTGAAAAGCTTACCTCTAGATTTTATGTTTGCCTGCCTTTCTTAGCTGTAAATCTAAATGAGGATGGAGTGGAATTGCTCCACTTTGGAGCTGATGAGAGTGATGCAGTTAACATCAACAGAGTACTTGTGTGTTATAGGTAGGACATTTTGGCTGCCTTATAACTCATTGACTTTTAGAAATTTCTCAAATGTCATTCCTAAGAATTGGTCTGTCTGTAGTGACCTTCTGAATTCCTAATAACTTTATGGCAGTCAGCTTCTTAAATACATGCTCTTATTTATCTTTTTTCTTTGGTGCCTAACTCAATGTGATGTCATTGTTGGTTGAATTAGTAAATGATTGAAAATACTGTACCATGCATATAAATTGCCCGTGAAAACACTATAGTAAAGAGTGGATCATAACACTTCTAGTAATAGAAATGACTTTTTTCTCCTGCTTTTTTTCCTTCCGTATAATCCTAGGTTGATTTGTTTTCAAGAATAGGTATCTATGATTAATTATAACTTTACCTTTGTACTATTAGTGCATCAAAGTATTCTGTGAAAAAACATATTTTTGCTACAGTAAAGTTAAATTCTTCTTACTCTAATTCATAGTCTGGACACATTTGGCTTACTTAGCTTTGTTTTCTACGTTCTGTAACCCTTGTTTCTCCCCTGGTGCAGAACAGACTTTTCACCCTGTTCCAGGATATAAGCCATTATTCGTTCTGGCATCATGCTTGGTCTCTGAACTCCAGTCTCATGAACTCTTGGGTTACTTCTGTTTTTGACTCACCAGTTTAGAACTAAATCATGTCTGTTGCAAAATATGTGTCTACATCTAGCTTCATAACTATGATTTTTAAATTTTAAAAAGTTTAATCCTTTTCTTTCTGGCATATTGCAGAATGCTAAGCACTTTATAGTCATTCAGTAAATACTGCAGTATATGCTGGTTAATCTCTTACTCTTAGCGTAGGAAAGTAAGCTTTCTCCCAAAGAAAATGAGAAAGACAGAGATAGATAGGAGTGAAGGAAGAAGGGAAGGGAAGAGGGAGGGAGGGGCGGGCAGAGGGATGGAGGGAGGGCAGACCAGCAGGCATATTTTGTGGAATAGGGAAAGAGCTTTGATTTCAGGATTTGAAAACTTGGGTTTAAATTCTGATTCTGTTTACTCACTTTTTGGTATTGGCTAAGTTCCACAAACTTTGGGTATATATGACAGTACTATCTACTTGGTAAGCTTGTTGTTAAATCATATAATGTATGTGAAGTTCTTATTACCACATTCTTTGGAACATAATACATGTTAGAACAACGGTTAGCCAACTCTAGTATTTTGCATATAAGGAAACTGAGTTTTAGAGAGCTGAATAAAGGTCATATAGACAGTAGACTGTGAAGGCAGGATTGAAAATCAAGTTTTGTTTTGTTTTTAACTTGAAAGCAGTGATTTTTCAATTGCTTCATAGCCTTTTGGCTAAAATCAAGTGTAAAGCAACGCTTTTCAAACATTGAGCATCAGAATCCCCTGAAGGGTTTCTCAAAATAAAGATTGCTAGGTCCCATCCCAAAGCTTCTTTTCAGAAGGTCTAGAATGGGGCCTGCCTGACAATTTGCATTTCTAAGAAGTTCCCAACTGCTGCTGGTCCAGGAACCACACTTCGAGACCCAGTGCTTTTTGGCAGATTTCTCAGCCCCAGCTGGATGTCAGAATCCCCTGGGGAGCTTCTAAAAATTACTGATGAAACCAGAATCTCTGGTTTGGGGCATGTATGTATCAGCTTTTTTCCTTTTCTTTCTTTCTTTTCTTTTTTTTTCTGTAAAGTTTGTCCTTCTCCTTCTTTTTTAAATTTTAATCATTGTTCAAGTTCTTTTTTTTTTTTAAAGCCCTTCAGGTGATTGTAATATGCAGCCGAGTAGGAAACACCATTCTGCCTAAAGCTAAAGTTAAACTGCAGCTTTCCGTTAGAACTGGGTACCAAGCAAAGTGCTGGCCTTGAACACCTCCTGGGTGCTTAGTGAAGCAAGGCCACAGTGGTGTGTGGTTTTGCCCTGTGATGTTTTAAAAACAGTAACTGAAGCCTAGAATTATTTTATTATTTTATGCATTCTAATTATTGGGTTGGCCAAACTTTTTCTTTTTCATACAGTGGCTCTAGTTAGTGCTTAGTTTTCTAATTTCATTTGAAGCAATTTTGTTAGATTGTATTTGTTAGACAGCTCTCAAAATTGGTGAATTTTTGCATTTTAATATTGAAAATGGAAGAAGATATGCAAGATTTTTAGAGTGTTAGGGTTTATTATTTCAAGAATGGTAAAAACGCAACTGAAACACAAAGATTTGTGCAGTGTATGGAGAAGGTGCTGTGACTGATCAAATGTGTCAGAAGTGGTTTGTGAAGTTTCTTGGAACTATTGATATTTTGGCCAAATAATTCTTTGTTGTGGGGCTGTCTTATGCATTGGAAGATGTTTAGCAGCTCCCCTGCCCTCTACCCACTAGAAGCCAATAGTGGGAGATAGCTGTCATACTCAGAATGTCCAAATCAATAAAGTTGTTGGTGAAAATGAAAAGTGTCTTTTATTTTACAGAAAAAACTATACAGACTTTTTGGCCAACCTAATATTTGTGTTTATATTCCTTTTTAAGTAATGTCTTGAATACCTTCATCAGTCTCTTGGGTGGATTATATGTTGGTGGTTGGCAGAAACAACTATTTCCCAATAGCTGACTTGAATTATAAAGTAGGTAAAGGAATATATCGAATTTTTTAAAAAGCAGACATCTTTGTAACTTACTGTACATTTAAAGTTCTGGTTATGAGTTTGTTCTTTTTTTCCTGAGATACTGTTGGAAACCTTATGTTTTTTGTCTTAGGGCACCAGTTGCTGGTTAGAACAGGTAATGATAGTTGTGCACCCAGGAGTACAAGTGAAAATGCAGTAGATTAACTGTAAAGGAGTTATTTCTTTTGTTATGTGATTCAGCTGATAAATACATACAACTAAGACATGAAATCATTTGCTGGATATAAGAGTGGGCAAAATACCACATAATTTCATTAACCTTTAAGCAATGAAATTATAAATCCCTATGCAAATGTTAAGGTTATCATTGCCTATCACCCCCTTTTGATACCTACAGACTGTTAATTCTTCTCTGTCCTGCTGAGTCTTATTAAAACTTCTGACTGATGTACTTTTATTAAAAGGTTTAGAATTTACCAACTTAAAACACTTGCTTCACACTATCACCTCTAATTTAACTAGGCCATTAAACACAGTATTTTGCAAAGGGAAAAAGTCAATAGCTGTTTCTTTAAAAAATTAATAAATTGAAATGAATTTTAAACTCTGCTTAGAGGTGAGCAACTGCTATATTTTACTAGGTCTTTTGATAGTTGATTTGTTCTTTTAGTATGCAAATTTCAGGTTTACAAAGATCTGCTTTTATTTAAGAAATATGCCTGGAGGCTAGATTGGTAAGCTTTAGGGAGATATCTAGTTTGGTGTGAAATAAATAGTTGTTAAAGGATCACATGGATTGGGTCCCACAAGAGGAAAGAGTAGAGCTGAGATAGATTGAGAAAAACTGACTTCATTTCACTTCATTTGGCTAAAAATACCACTAAGTTAGAAATGAAGACATTGAATGATGACAATACAAAGAAAATTAATGCGAATAAGCCATTTTGTGGGTGGGTGTAGATTTTGTGAAAAGTTCCAACTTGTGAGAAGTTTTAATGGAAGGGTTTAGTGTGTCCCTGACCTGAGAAGCTTGGCTCATCATTCTGGAAAGCCAGTGTCTTGAGAGAGAGCTGTATAGTTTTGGGAGGGAAGACTCTTCTAAGGAAGAAGGAATGGGTCACTCCCCTGGCTAGTCAGCAGCACCACTTTTGTTCAATGAGAAGATAGTGGTAAAAGAACATCTTCACATTCAAAAGAAAAGAACTTGAGGTTGCTATTAGGTTGGAGACTCTCAGTAATCCAGTTTGCAAGTGTTATGCAAATAATGTAATAGACTTCCAACTTTGGAGAAGCGTTATATCACGGATCTTTTGGACACTCTGACTTCCAAACAGATTTTTTCCTTAATTAATGTAAAAATTATGAAATATATTTTTATATTGATATCTTATAGAATTCTCTCTTTTTTTTAGGTACTTTGTCTTTCAAAATGTTTTTAAGCACTTGGGCTCTTAAAGATAAATATTTGAACAGCATCGTCTAGCAGTTGAAATGACCTCTGTGTATGCCTGTTGGCTGTGTATCTCTGGTGGTGGACAGTGAGGTACAGAGGGTGATGGTGAGACTGGAAGTCCCTCACCCCTTGCCATCAAGGATACCCTCTATGCAGGTATATATGTATGAATACATAGATTTACAAGCCTTTTTCTATTCAGCATCACTTTATTTTTATTTTTGGACTTGAAGATTATTTTTAAAACTTTTGAGTAGTTACTGTGTTCACTTGATTCAAATTCAAAAAATTCAAGGGCTATAAAATCTCTCTCGTACATATCCTAGTCCCTTAATACTCACTTTTCAAGTACACATGTAACCAGTGTTAACCTTTTTTGTATATCCTAGAGATATGTATATATATGTAATCAATGTATTTATTTTTTTTCTCATGCATTGATTTATATATTTACATTGTGAGTATTATATTTTGGAATTTCTAAAAAATGCCAGATTACATTTAAAAATACAGAATGTATAGCCTTATTCAGATATGCAGTATTTCTGGAATTTTTTAAAAACATATTGAAATTAGTTCAAGCACTAATATCTACCTTTGCTTGCAACTTTGTGAAGCAGAATTACATGCAAATCTTTGGAAGGTCCCAGGGTTACAAAGCAAGGCCTGACTTGCCCTTGTGGCCTTAATAGATTGCCATGTTTCTGCAGCCCATATAGTTTTCATGGGCCTCAATAATGTTCTCTTGTTCTTGAGGAATTCTCACTTGGACATGTAGGGCTCAGAGCAAAGTCCTGTATTTCATTATTTCATGTGTATGGTATCTAGTTTTACTTCTAAATTTCCATTTTCTGTGTGTTCTTATATTTATATCTATACTTGGCTTTATTTAATTTGATGTTTTCTGATCTTAGTAGGGTGTATAAGTTCAAGAATACTGGGGAGCATCTGAGAGTGTTTTTTGTTCTTTTAAACTTTACTTTTATTGAGTCAATAAAAAGGAGTGATTGAGAGTATGGGATCTAGTGCTAGATTGCCTGGGTTTGAGGTCCAAGAACATGACCTTGGGCAAGTTACATAACCTCTTTCTGCCTTAGGTTTCTTAACTGTGTGAAGTAACAATATTATGTACTTCAGAGATGTGACGATTAAATTATGTGATATAATTGTATAGTGGATATCAAATGTTAGCTATTTGTATTTCTGTGGTATAGGTGTGTTTATATTTGATTTTTATACAATTTAGTATTTCTTACATTATAATTTTGAGATTTAGGTAACCTTGTAAGTCTTGATTCCAGAACTAAAATGTGAGGATAACTTGAGAAAAAAAAACAATTTTTTTGTTTCTTTTCCTTGCTAGTTGAGAATAGGGTGTATATATATTTTTTCATGTTCTTTTTGTGTGTGTAGAGCAGCACCATTCAATACAATTACAATGCAATAATTTTTAATTTTTAATGGCCACATTAAATAAGTAAAAAGGAGTAAGTTTAACTAATTTTGCAGGTGTACTTTATTTAACCCAATATATCAAAATTGTTATCAGTTCAACATGTAATCAATATAAAATTATTGATGTATTTTACATTCTTATTTTTGCATTGTTTTTAAACATCTATCCTGTGGCCATCATAAACAAAACAACAAACAACAAGTGTTGGAGAGGTTGTGGAGAAAAGGGGACCCTAGTGCACTGTTGGTGGGATTGCAGACTGGTACAACCACTATGGAAAACAGAATGGAATTTTCTCAGAAAACTAAAAATGGAACTGCCTTTGACCCAGCAATTCCACTGCTGGGATTATACCCTAAGAGCCCTGAAACACCAATTCAAAAGAACCTATGCACCCCAATGTTCATAGCAGCACAATTTACAATAGACAAGTGCTGGAAGCAACCTAGGTGCCCATCAGTAAATGAATGGATCAAAAAACTGTGGTACATTTACACAATGGAATTCTATGCAGAAGAAAGAAAGAAGGAGTTCCTACCCTTTGCAACAGCATGGATGGAGCTGGAAAGCATTATGCTAAGCGAAATAAGCCAGGCAGTGAAAGATAAATACCATATGATCTTACCTTTAACAGGAATCTAAACAACAAAACAAAGAAACAAGCAAAATATAACCAAAGACACTGAAATAGAGAACAGGCTAACAGTGTCCAGAGAGGAGAGGGGAGGGAATTTTGGGGGAAAAGGGGAAGGGTTTACAGGAACAAGTATAAAAGACACATGAACAAAAACTAGGGGCGGGTGGAAATGGGAGGGAGATGGGGAGGTCTGGGTGGGTGGGCTGGGATGGGAGTAAAAGACAGAAAATTGTACTTGAACAACAATTAAAATAAAATTTAAAAAAATTTAAAAAAATACTATTTATGCCCCCCCCCCAAATGTATTCTGTATATTATATTTACAGTACATCTCAATTTGGACTAGCCATATTTCAACTGCCCAGTAAGCACATGTGACTAGTGATTACAGTACTGGACACACAGTTATAAAGTACTTTTGAAATGACTTCTAAATTTGTTCTTTTACATTAGGGAAGATTTTACAAAATATTTTACAACAAATGATAAAGCTAGATGCATCTCATAGGTGGATAGAAATTATAAATTTGTAGTGTGAAAAGAGAGGTCGGAGAAAGGTTTGGATTTGGGAATGATCAGTGAATATATATATATATATATATATATATATATATATATATATATATATATATACTAATTGAAATCTTGAAGTCAGGGATAGAATGAAATTATGATATCCCTAAGGATAAAACCCTATGGAATTTCTAGAAAATGAGCCATGGGTAAAATAGAGAAAATCAATAGGACAGAGGAGATTAGCAAGGTGGACATGCCCTGAAAACCAATGAAAGTGAATTTCAGAAAGGCTGGTGGGGAAGAGCGCCAAATGCCATAGTTCAGCAGTGTGAAGAATAAAAATAGGCAATTATTTGGTTATTGCAAATCTTAGCAATGACTATTTCAGTAGAGTGATGACTAAGGAAGCCAATTTGTGGTAGTTTCAGTTGAAGTGAAGCCAGTAAGTCTATATTACTGTTTTATGAAGTTTGACAGGCATAGTTGGTAGAGTTGAAAGAAGTGTATTATTTGTGAAGGAGAAGGAGCTAATGGAGAGGAAAAGATTGAAAGAGGAGGGAAAGGAGAAAACTGATGAAGTGATTTTTTAGAAAAGGCATGATGAATAGTATTGAGTGTATACATGGAGGGATTAGCAATGGAATGGAAGAGGGTCAATTATGAAATAGTAAAAGTGCTATGGGATAGGAGAATTTGTGTGCGATAGAGTGGGTTCTTAGTTTTAAGCAACAGCTAGTTTACGTTGCAGTTAGCTAGTTTAAGCAAAAAGGGAGATATTATACACTACTAATTTCTAAGAGTACCAAGGAACCTTACCTGACTCTTAATAAGCAAAGAAAACATACGTCAGGAGAAACACCTAGTTATACTATTCTAGTAGAAAAATCCATTGTCACTTCCCACTTGGAACATATGGTACTAGGGATCATTTATTAGAATGTCTGTGTGATTGTTAGAAGAATAAAATGTCTTCACAAGATTTGATCTCATTGTATAGGTAGTTACCACCTTGATTTGCTCACTTCTTTCTAGGTCTTATATGGATTTGTCTGATTAGTTGAATCTGGGTCCACTGTAGAAGGCCGGATGCAAATGTATCTGGAAAATGTAGCTTTTAGCTTTGGAGGCTATGTACTACAGGAAGTTAGAGTGCATGCCAGAAAGTTAGAGTACAGGTTGGGTGGTTCTGGCTCTTGATCTGTCTCATGAGTTGCAGTCAAGATGTTACCCAGGGCAATAGTCACCTGAATATTTGAGCAGCCTGGATGATCCACTTAAAAACTGAACAAAAAGGAAAAAGGACTCATGGAGATGGACAACGGTGTGGTGATTGCTGGGAGGGAAGAGAATATAAGGGGACTAAATGGTAATGGAAAAAAATAAAATAAAGATTAAATTAATTCTGGTAAAGATGGAAGTGTAGGTAGGCTTGCTTTGCCTCCTCGCACAACCATAAGAAGGATAACAACAAATCTAAAAACAAAAACAATCAGAACTGCCAGAAGATTGAACTGTATGGACGTCTGACAACCAGGGATTTAAAGAAGAAACATTCATCTAGATGGGTATAGGAGAGGCAGAGGGATGTGGTGTGGTGTAGTGAAGTGGTAGCTGTGAGGCAGTGACAGCGAGGCAGTCACAGTGAGGCAGTAGCTGCGGTGGCTGGTGGAACAGGCGGTCCCACATTCACGTGTGGTAGATAAAAACTGGGAGGGATAACTGGGGAGCAAATGATCCCAACCCCAGGCAGACTGTGCAGCCCAGGGTTCTAGTACCTGGAAAATAAAACCTTATAACCTTTGGCTATAAAAGCCAGTGAGGATTGGGGTGGTGGAAGAAACTGCCAGTCTCTTAGGAGAGTCCATTTAAAAGGCCCATGATGTCCTAGAACATACATAAACTTTGGGAATCAACACCAGGGTAGCAGCTAGATGGGCACCAGTCACTTATAAGAAGTGGGGGAAGTGCCTGGAAATGGAGTGAGAAAGCCATGCAAGCTGCATTGTTCCCTCTCTGACCCCTCCCCCACATACAGTGCCACAAAACGATGAGGTGGGTTGTACCACCCTGAAGAATACCTACTCCCTTACAACATCACAGGTGCATTGACACAGGGAGGCTGCAAAATTGAAGAGACAAAGAAATATGGCCCAAATGAAAGAATAGACCAAATCTCCAGAAAAAGAACTAAGTGACATAGAAATAGCCAACCTATCAGATGCAGAGTTCAAAACCACTGGTAATCAGTATGCTCACAGAAATGGTTGAGTATGGCCACAAAATAAAAGAAGAAGTGAAGGCTATACAACATGAGATAAAGAAAATATACAGGGAACCAACAGTTGAAGGGAAGGAGACTAGGACTCAGATCAATGATTTGGAACAAAAGGAAGAAATAAACATTCAACTGGAACAGAAGGAAGAAGCAAGAATTCAAAAAAATAATAGGGTTAGTAATATTTTGTCCAACTTTAAACATACCAACAGATGAATCATAGGGGTGCCAGAAGGAGAAGGGGAAGATCAAGAAATTGAAAACTTATTTGAAAAAATAATTAAAGAAAACGTCCCAAATTTCATGAAGGAAATAGATACAAGTCCAGGAAGCTCAGAGAATTCCCAACAAGTTGGACCCAAAGAGGGCCATACCAAGACACATCATAATTAAAATAATTAAAATGCCAAAGGTTAAAGATAAACAGAGAATCTTAAAAGCAGCAAGAGAAAACGAGACAGTTACCTACAAAGGAGTTTCCATAAGACTATCAGCTGATTTCTCAAAAGAAACCTTGCAGGCAAGAAGGGACTGGCAAAAAGTATTCAAAGAGATGAAAAGCAAGGACCTACATCCAAGATTACCCTATCCAGCAACGTTATCATTAAAAAATTGAAGAGCAGACAAAGTGCTTCCCAGACAAGGTAAGGGGAAAGGAGTTCATAGTCACCAAGCCCTTATTTGAAATGTTAAAGGGACTTATTTAAGAGAAAGAAGATAAAAACTATGAACAGCAAAATGGCAACAAACTCACAATTATCAACAATTGAACTTAAAAACAAAACCAAAAAGGCAAACTAAGCAAACAACTAGAATAGGAACAGAATTGCAGAAGTGGAGATCACAGGGAAGGTCATCAGTGGGGATGGGAATGGGGAAAATGGGGGAAAAGTACAGGGAATAAGAAGCATAATTGGTTTGTACAAAATAGACACGGTTGTTAAGAACAGTATGGGAAACGGAGAAGCCAAAGAACTTATATGTACAACCCATGGACATGAACTAAGGAAGGGATTGCTGGAGGAAATGTGGGTACCAGGCAGAGAGGGGGACGGGGGAAAATGGGACAACTGTAATAGCATAATCCATAAAATATACTTAACAAAAAGATTAAATTAAGAGTGACTCTGGTACTATGCTGTTAAGTTGATTCTTGCTATTTGGCAAGAGGCCACATGGACCAGTCCACAGGGCTGTTTGTGTTACATCTCCTGATGTAACAACTGGCTTCATCAAGAGCAAGTTATCTAAAAGAAAAGAGCAAGGGGTAGGTGCAGTATCTGTTAGGACCTAGCATCAGAAGTCAGAAACCATCACTTCCTCTGCATTCTGTTTCATTCAGACCAGCCTGATAAAGTGAGGGAGGGGACTACACAAAGGCATGGATAACACAAGATAAGGATTTGGGGGCCTTCTTGGAGGCTGGTTACTATGCCTCCCCCATCCCCCCACCTTTCTTTGACAGCAGAAATTGATCACTTGTCTGTAGAAGCGAAAAACAAAATTCTTTTAATAGAGTGGAACTGGCCAGGAATTTGGTTTGAAGGTGGTTATTGTTAAATATGAAGGGTACAGAGTATGCATTATCCTGTCAGTTGTTTGAGAGATCCAGAAATGCTGTTCTGTTACTTGTTCAGGCTTCTTTTCTGAAGGCAGAGCATGTATCATAAAAATCATAACTCAGTCTAGGTCTGTGTGTTTTGATGTTTGGAGATAATAAGGTTGTGATACTTTGTCTTCCAGAATAGCTCTCCTGTTCTCATCTATGAAATTAGGAGGTCTGACTAGTTCTCCCTGTGGTCCTTTCTCAGTCTCAATTCTCTAAGATCCTGACTAACTTTGAGAATTGGCGTGAACGTCACTGTGACGTACTAGATAGATGTAGGTCATTCTGCCATGCCTCGGTCACATCATCTTGTTTACTTCTTTCACATCATGTATCACAATTGAAATGATATTTCTGATATACTCATCTGCCTGTATCCTTTCTCCCCTCCCCAAAATGAAGCTCCAGAAGGGCAAACTTTTTCTTGTCCTCTGCAGAATTCCCAGTACCGACTGCTGTGCCTGCTAGATGCTCAGGAGGTTAATTATTTTTTGAGAGAATATACTACATGATTATTATTTCAAGCAGGCCATCTCAAAAGCCCCCCGCCCTCCACACACACTTGGTTTATGTCTTCTTAGGTTTTCAATCTTAACCTTTTTTGCGGGGGAGGGGAGTGACACAAGATTCTCTCTGTTGTGAATGCTTTCCTGTCTCATTCAGAGTTGGTGCCTGGAAGGGTCTCTGACCTGGTTTCTTTCTGATACAGGTTATTCTGAGTCTGTGATTACTATTTAAAATAATTCTTTTAAAAGATGTGCTGGGTCATCCTGTGATTTTGTGCTACGTAAACTGGGAGCCACATTTCTTTTTTGCTTTCCTGGCTCCCCCTTTTTGCTTGTCATAAAGGATCCTTTTTGTATGAGTTACTTTGTTAGTTTTGACCTTGTCTGCATCCATGTACCTAAGGATTCTGACTTTAATATATACAGAACAGGAAAGTCACAATATCCACCCTTGGGTATATGCTAACATCTTTTTTCTCTTCACTGTGCCTGGCTTGCAGAGAATACAGGCTGTGTAAATTAGTAACAGTTTAAAGCTGAGGTAATGCTCTGCCAGAAAGTAGTGTTTTTAGGATATTTACCCAAGATCTGCAAGAGTCTGTATACCTCCATTATTTCCTTAGTGTGAACATCTCAATTCAGGACTGATTATTCATATGCATTTCAACCTGCCTCTGAGATTTTAGACTGCCTTCAGCAAAGGTTCTTGACAGTTTTTTGGATTGTGGACCTTTTTGCAAACCTGACAAACTGTTGACCTCTACAGAGAGGTATCCATTTATATAAACCCACAGATTTTACATCAGTCGAACCAACTCATGGCCCAGGATGGCTATGAATGTGGCCCAACACAAAAATCGTAAATTTACTTAAAACATCATTTGATTTTCAACTTAAAGCATTTTCAACTTAAAATATTATGAATGTTCAATTTAAAGAAAAACTTGATCGTTTCTCTTTAGTGGACTTTCATAGGTCCTATTTTCTGAGAGACAAATGTCCCTTGCTTCACATTCATGCCTCATTCATGCCATCACTATTTGGCAGCAACTACATTTGTGAGCAACTATTTTCAAGAATGAAACACATTAAAAGTAAAGTTAGAACCAAAATAGGTGATGAGCACCTTGAGAACTCATAAGAATTGCAACTACTTCTGTCACACCAGATATTGATGCACTAGTTTCTCAATACAGTGTCAAACATCCCACTAGTTTTATGTTGCCCTCTTTTATAATAAAACATTTTAAAAATCAGTGACATTTTGTTACTTAGATATGTACATTTTCCTATATTAGTAATCACAAACTTGAGACCTGCGTGATGACTTTAAAAGATTATCAAAAAGGCTGCTGCAAAATTAGGGTAATTATGTGAGGGTTTTTTTCATATCTGTAGTGCCGGATGTCACCAAAATCATGCAGGGACCTTTTTTTTGCTCATCAGTTTTTGTTAGTATTTGTGTATTTAATGTGTGGCCCAAGACAGCTTTCTTTCCAGTGTGGCCCAGAGATGGCAAAAATTTGGGCACCCCTGTTTTACATATATCATTCAGGACTGTATAGATTCCTGAAGGCCATCCATGTATCAAGGTTAAGGACCTCTAATCTGAATTATTATTTTTGTATTTTAATTGCTGTGGGAAATCCTTGGAAAGACTGAAAAAAAGACTTATTAGTTAAGACTCAGAACATTACTGATTTTGGAGGTTCTTCTCCCATCTTGAAATATCCAAGAATCAGACTGCTAGCTCATTCAAGCAAACTCTTGTCCAGGTCAGGATTCAGAATTCAGGCTGGGTTTATTTTGAAGACAACAACATAACTATGCCCCTTGTGATCTTGCAGGTACCCCTACATTAGCCAGATTGGATGTATGTAAAAAGAGGCATAGGTATATCTGGATCATGAGGTAAGCAAATGGCACTTCTCTTTTGTTTCTCCATCTCAATTCAGTCCTCTGGCAGCATGTGGTCATTTCCTATCATCCACACTTTACTGCACTGTGGGTCAGTAAGGTGATAACTGTTTCTAAAGAGAAGGAAGCAGCCTTTCTTAAATTTTACCAGATTACTTCCTGTGCTGCTTGAAGTCAGATTTCTTTATTTTTATTTTATCTCATTTTATTTCGTATATTCACACTTCCATAGTAGATAAAAATTCCTCGCTCTTCTTTTTATGTATATATTTTGGAGAGTTGTGGACAGCTCTCATATTGTTCCTTGGTTGTCAGCCAAGTTACACACATTTAACTCCTTTAATCTTTCTTTGTAATCCTGTCAGCTTGGCTGCTTTTTCTAGGCCCCCCCACTCCCATTTCTTTTGCATCAGTAATAAACAAGAAAAATCAGGCTATTGGCTAGCTTCTTCTTTACCTTTCACTCTTTTTGCTTCCTCATTTTGCCTCATATTCCTTGTTGAACTAAAGCCAGCCAGACATCATTCTCTGGACCACTTTGGCAATACATGAATGCCTTGCCTACAACTATCAGTGGCCCACGTGGTAATAGCATCGGCAGTATATCCTAGAGGAAAGAAAGGAAATGTAAAAGGAGAACAGTGAGGAGTAAAATAATGCATTCTTTGATTATATGGCAGACTTACTTTTGCCACCCAGAGTAAATCATTGTACCTGGAACCCTTACCACAGGTTTTATATTCCCAAAGTGCTGTGCAGGGGCATTAATTTGCATAATAAAGAAAGTCTGTATATTGTTTGAAGTTTGGCCACATTTTGTACTCAATTTCTTCCCCATGTTCTCTCTCCCACCATTGCCTTTCCCAACACTGATGTGATTGCTATCAGAGTTCGTTGCCATGAACAAAACTGGGCAGGGGACCATTTTGTCAGAAATTAGATAGGCTCAGGTGGTAAATGCTCCACGCCTCCATGTGGAATATCTGAGGCAAGTGCTTTAGTTCTTGCTATTTCTGTAACAGCTGTTGGTCTTCTTTTAACAGCAGATTCAGTGGGGATGTACAGAAGGAAGAGTCTCTGTCTGTACCAGGGGTGTCCAACCTTTTGGCATCCTTGGGCCACACTAGAAGAAGAGTTGTTTTGGGCCATACATTGGATACATAAATACTCATGAGAATGGATGAGCAAAAATAGAGGTTTTAAGTAAATTTATGATTTTGTGTTAGGCCTCATTTCTAGCCATCCTGGGCTGCATGCGGCCCACGGGCCGTGGGTTGGACACTCCTGCTTGGTGCTTTTCATCAGCAGTGTATTAGTTTCATAACTCTCCTTCCTCATCCAGCCCTGATTGGCAGAGAGAGAAGCATACTGCTTCTACATGATGCTGAGCTTAGTGTAAAGTATGCCAGCATGGGATCTGGGCTTGTCACAGTATATTCTTTCTTTTCATTTGGTTTGTAGAAAATGGATCTCTACCTCTTCTTATCTTGTGCATTAGAGAGAAAAAGTTCACACCTCAAGGAGCTAATTGCTTATTGGTATTTTAGTCACCAGATTCAGGTAGTGTATTTAGTTGAACTTTGCAATAGCACACACTTGGCTTTCTCATTTGTGTTGGCTATGCTTCTAGTACAGAATTGAATAGTATAGAAGAGACGGTTTTCCTGTTTGTGTCTGTGGCAACTTTGTAGATGATCTGTGGTTTAATCCTTTAAACATTTTTGATCTTTTATCACCCATTCCCTGTAAAGGCATAAAATATTCAGATTCTAATGTTATAATCTTTTAGTAAGATTATTTAATTTTGGAGAAATCAAGGTAAGAAAAGCAGTTGACATAGTTAGTTGTCTTTGAATAGTGACCTAAAATTTTTAATACTTATATTAGTTATTTTTTTTTTGCCAGATTTTATGGTCTTCCTTTATACTGTTAGAATTTAAATAAGATTATGTGATTATGAATCATGTATTTTTTAATGCATTTCTGGCCTCTAAAACAGGTATGTATATGACTTGGATCCCTTTTAGTCTGATTTTTTAAAATGTTAATCTCTCACATGGCTTTTAAACTGTCGACAATATTGTGCTCACACTAATTTCTTTAGGCAGTTGATTCTTTCTTCAGCATAACTTTTGTTTCTTGGGTCTTTTCAAGACCTGTCAAAGAAAACAAAATGCTAACCTGACTTTAAAGGGGCAAAATAAAAAAATCCTCCCCCCTCCATGCTATATTATTCTTTGTTCTCTGTGTGCATCAAAGTGACAGTCCCACACTGTCTCAATTGAGGGAGTCTCACACAAAAATAAAAAACAGCCTGGCACTGTTCTAGGATGGCAGCCAAAATGTTTTGTGTAGCTTGGTTCTGGCGGAGGTTTTCATAAGGCAAAAGGGTCTACCCTCCCCACATCACCAAAGGAAGACACGCAGCCTCAGTCTTCACTGCTTATACCATTTCTTTTCCTGTGCCCTCTTCTTTCTTCACAAAGCCCACCATCATGAAAAATTTTTTTTTTCTTAAATAGTAACATCATTTTTCTCACAACTTCCACATTTAGTGAATGGCATTGTTCCTTATAGAAGCTTGTGCTAAATTTGCCTTTTCCAGCTCTCTTAGAGATTTCTTTCACAGTTGCATTTTTGCCACAGTTTTCAGAAAACCCTTCTGAATATTGCTAACTTTGGTCATTTTGACATAGTGATTTTGATTGGTTGGAATCTTGCTTGATAGGTTAATATTTGAGCAGAAATTTTGTATAATAGTTGTTTGTATTATATGGATTTTTGTGCCAATATATCTCTTGCTGAAACCAAAAAGTCTGCCATTGTTTTCCATTTTTGTCTAGAATTCAGGGTCAGTTCATATCTTTTACAAACAGAATATTCATCTTTAGAATGCCTGTTAACGGTTGCTAACTAACCTGATGAACTTCCATTAAATAGAAGGATGTACATTTAAAAAGTTTTTTTGAAATCAAAATGCAAGACATGGAACTGTTTTCAGATTTCTCAATACCCACTAAATTATAGTTACCTACTGTTAAAAGGCATGTGGTAATGTGGCATTATGATTTTTAAGTGATGATTTGAGTAGGAGACTAGATTTTTGTTGTGAGCAAACATTCTATGATAGAATGTTCCTCACAATGTAAATGTTTTCTGTTGTATTAAGCAAAAACAAATAATTTATTTTAAAGTGATCTATTTTAAAAATGAGTGTTTTGCAGTTAAGAATAATTAAATAGGCAGAGTATGTTTTCTTAGGAGATTGATATTATTTTGACTAATATTTTTAAAAATTGTCAATTATTTTTGGCAGTAAGAAATTACTTTGGGAAGAGAAACTTATGTATTTTTGTAACAGTGAAGCATATATGCCTGAAAAGAAGTATGTAGTACTTCATGTTAGAATTATCAACGTAAAACATTTTATATGCCATGTATACTGGGAAATACTGTATCTATATAGTACATGAAGATGAACTTGTGCAATTTAACAGTTTTTTTTCCCCAAGGATTTATCTTTAATTTAGAAAATGCTTTAAAGTCATTAAAAGGATTTGTAAAATAGGTATGTCGGAATATGCATTAAATAAACTCACCTGTTATTTTCTCTCATTCTCAGGACAGATTCAGCAACATATTGGCTCATTACTTTAACAAAACAAACAAATATTCAAATTGCTTTGTATATAATGCACCTGTAATAAATACTGTGATTCTCCATTTCCCAATGCTGTGTTTTTAACTTGTGTTTAAGTAGCTTTTTCTGTAGAGCCACTGAAGTCAAGCTGGGTGAGGTACCTTTAAGTTATATCAATTAAATCTTTAGGTCAGCATTTTAAATTTCAGAATTATGACATTTTGAGAAGGAATGCCAGTGAAACTGTTTTTTTTTTCTCTCTCTTGGTCCTGTTAAGTGCATGACTGTCTTAAATCCTCTGTACCCAAGGCCTGATGATACTAGAATAGATAGTTAAAGATAATACAGACCAAAAACTCTCATTCTGTATGAGAGTTCACATATGTAGAATAGTGTTTATTATATATTAAATACTATTTGTTGACTTGAAATACATTTTCTCCAGTGGCATAATTTTGTTTTTGCAATTAAGCCCTTTACCTTTCTGTGGTAGGAATATATCTTTTGGTGACTTAGGAATTGCAGCATGAATTGTCCTAATTATTTGTTTATTCTAACTATGCACAGAGGTGTAATAGAAATATATTTAAGACCTGTAATATTTGAGCAGGGTTTTTTTTGGTAAATGCTATTGAGTTTCTCATTTTTGTATGTAATAAATCCTACAGTTTTGTTTAATTTGCAACACATATCAAAGCTATTATACGTTATGATTTGATGTTAAACAATTTTAGGAATTATGATTTAGTAACATTTGTAGAAACATGGAAAAATAAATTTATTAAGAGATGACAAAGCAAAGTTGAATAAACACTAAATATCATTATATTAATTAGGATCTTATTTTATTATATTCAGTATCATATGTAATTATAGCTAACATTTTACTTCATTTTAATATCAGTAAACATAACCCTTGGGTAGGTGATTTGACTGTCTTGTTTGATATTAAATATTGGTAATATACAATAACAAATAGTGATTTCTAAGTTTATCTGGTCAAAACTATTAGTAATACCCCCTCAAGCATATGGTATATACTTTAGTGTTAAAATCCAAAGAAGAGGATATTACATGAAAGGATATGTGTTAATTCAGTTGTTTGGTTCCCCTCTCCCTCATTTTTGATAATTTTAATTTTCCCTGCCTGACATCTTATATTATCATTCTGTAGAATACTTTTGCAAGTATTTCATATGTTTTCTGTGGCATCTCACACTGCTCACTTTTTATACAGAATACCATATGAGTTCCCCCCTTTTTAGGTTTACGCTGCATATTTTAAGCTGCTGATAGTGTAAGTTGATTGCAAGGTAAAGTGACATTTAGCTTTTTGAGCTAGTCTCATTTTTAGCATGAGAGCAGGTTTTTTTCCTCCCTGTCCTAAATCTTCTCATATTTCCCAGTGAAACAGTCTTACTAACACCAAACAAAGACATTCAGAGATTTGGCTACAGCAGCAATTGAAATGCATCAAAAAGTGGCTACTACAATACAATTTTATTAATGAATGATCTACATTGGTTCCAGCTGTGTCCATGTGATTAGGCCTTCACCAGGCAACAATGGGTGTTTCCCTAATGCTTTTATTTGATTTCCAAGAATGTGTCATCTGTTACATCAGCCCCTGCCAATATGCCCCTTGTAAAAGTATTTTTTTTCCTTCCAAATATCTGAAGCATAAGTTGAATACCCACACACATCCCTGCCGAAATATTGTTTTTAATGAATAGTGGCCTAGGTTTGTATGCCTGGTGTTGCATACCAACATTTCTGAACATAAATTCAAGTAAACATTTATTGAGTTTATCAGTAAATTTTTGGAAGTGTAGTTGTCTGGTAATGCTAAAGATAGACTATTTTCACTTCTACATTTTCATCTTAATATTTTATTACAGTGGTATAATGTGTTATAGAGATGGACAAGCTTGCAGATTGAAATGGGGATCGTCCAGATTGTTCCCTTCCCTGGACCATATGGTATAGTTCTAAAAGCTTTTTGTATGCTGTCTGTTCAGTTTATTGTAAACTCAATCTTTAGTGCACCTAAAAAGATAACCAAATAAAAATGGGCCTGAGAAAAAGGCCTTTATATCATGTAAGGGCCTTAGAAATACTTGTTTTCAAGCAGATAACTGTGGATGAAGTTGAAGTTGAGATGATACGGAGATTTGTCATTCTCTGAATATTCTTTTGCGTTCATGTGGATTGTTGTAGGTTGCCTTTGAATACTGGTTTTGAAAACGAAGAAATTTATGTTATCTAACTATACTTACTATCCTTATTTATCCCATTCTGTCAGCCTCATGAGTAAGAGAATGTAGCTTTTGTCTAGTTTACAGAAAAGCTTCTACCTGTGAACAATGCCAAGGAATATATAAACTCCAGGTTTTACGAGTATATCTGGTCTTATTTATTTATTTATTTTTACAGATTTCAGTGAGAATTTAGGGCTAGGTCTTTCAATAATTATATCCCGTTAGCCTCTGCACTTAAGAGATTGTTGAAAATTTTCTAATTCTATTCCCTCTACACCTGACCTATTATGGTTCCATATTTCTGTTTAGGAAAATAAGAAAAGAAATTGCTTATTCTGTATGCTCATTCTCTTTAAAAGCTGAGAATGGAGTGATTTCTTCTGCTTCTCACTCCCGTTCTCTCCAAAGTAAGACACTGCCAGAAAGAGCATTAGACATTACCCATTGCTTCTTGGCACAAGAGATTTGAAGCTGAAATTCTACCCAATGCAAAAACAGGAGAGCCTGTGAAGAGTACACTTCTCTACTTTATCATTACCCTGAACCACTGAAAGTGTGACTGAGAGGACCTCAATGTTATTGGAATGTGTCATTTTGCTCTGAATGGTCACAATGAAATATATTTGAACAACAAAAACAAAACAAAACAAAATTTAGGTGTGACCTATGGAGATGATAGTGATTAATGTTAATGAATATTTTCAACACTGTACTACAGAAAATATCCCAAGTATTCTACACATTTAAACTATGTCCAATGGAAATGTATATGGAAAAATGATTAGTTTAAGGAATTTACTAGAGATAGATGAGATATTATAATAATATAATAATGCTAGTGGTGAATTGGACACAAAATACTTGTTGGATATATATTTTTCAAGATTGAAAATTTGTCATAAACAGAACTGCTGATTTCAAGTTGGGGAGTCATTTCTATTTAAAAAGGTACTGTTATGTCGTGGTCTTTCATTTATTATAAAGCTGCTTTACAAAACTGAAAACATAGTTTATACCTACAAACAAACTAGGTTCTTCCTATTCTCTCTCTATTCTATTTCCTTACCCCTTTCTTCTTGACTTGAGCTATAAATGTATGTATACACATACATTTGTATGTGTATATTACATATATGAATTATCTATGGCATACTATAAAAATGTTATTTTATAAGTTTGGGGAATCGAAGGTTTCAGTTAGGAAAAGAAATAAAAACCTTGTAATGACTATACAATGAATAGGTTTCCACAGAGGAATTGAAACACAATTATTAAAGCAATCTAGATTACTGAAAGTGGTAAGATAATTGTGGACCTGCAAACTCAAAATTGTTTCAATTTCTTCTAGCTACAAAGGACTAAATCATAGCCAAAATCAAGGAAAGAAGAGCCATAGGTAATGTAACTCAAATATCTCCTCTTTTTTTATAGCTTTCCTTTAATGGTAAAATACCTTTGGCTCTGGGTAGTATAAAATCTGTCTTCTCATGTTAGAAGTCGAGGTTGTTAGTTTACAGGTAACTGATGCTATCAGAGATCCAGGTAACTGGAAAGGAAAACTTCCTTTTCCACTATCCTTAGCATATAACTTTTGCTTCTTATTTCATAAATGACTTTGTTTTGTACCTATAGAATCTGTGTTTACCTTGAAGCGGGATGAAAAGCAAAAGGAGCTTAGAAACCTTCTCTTCATGAGGAGCTGTGTCTTTTTCTTTAGAAAAGGATGCTTGCTCATGGGGACATCTACCTACATCTCATTATAATGTGTCACATAATTTCCTCTGGAATGAGATAAAAATCATTTTAGCTTCCCAGCCTCTTCTGGAGGAAGGCAAGGAGAAGGAGAATTGTAATGAGTGAATTTGTGAAGGGCTGTGGACTAAATTTTATAGAATTGTTATTATTAAGGGGCATTGATGTGAAGATGTCAGAGTTGCTTTGGGAGGGAAATACTATTCAATTATAAGAGTTATAGGAAAATCCTCAAAATGATTTAGTACCAACACTTTTGTTTGAGTACATTATTCCATGAGTAAATAAAAATATAATTTATTTTTAACTCCATGTATAGACAGTTGTTTAAACAAAGACATTGTAGTACTCAAACATTTAGATTACAGTTTTCTAAGAAATAAGCAAACAGGTCATTTGATAATTTATATTATTGATGTTGATTTACAAGAAGAACTTATTAGATCCTTGCAACTCTTAAGACCAAAGGCATAGTAAATCAGATTTTATCTTAGATGGCATTTTGAGTATGTTATGCCTTTTAAACTCCTAGAGTGACAGTTTCATGTTTTTCAACACACGTGGAAATGGTACATACAATAGAAAACATCTTCGAAAGAAGCTGTAAGAATTCATTTTTATACCTGCTTGCTTTGCACTACACTGTCTTAGAAGAAAGCAGGATAACTCTTCTTTCAAAATCTGCAAAAGAAATGGGTCAGAGTGTAACTTGGTAGTATCAGTCAGTACCTCAAAACTCCTCCAGTGATGAACTTGAACTCTTGTTGTATTTCCATTCTGTTTATGTTACTTTGACCTCAGAGCACAAAGCAAACAACTATCCACTATAATCCATACAACAGCCCCTATATAGCACCATTTTAATAAATTTCTCCCTTTTCATTCACAATGGCAGAGTTGTTGGTACCTTAATTACTAAAACAACCTGTGCATAGACAGAACTTATCTCAGAGCAGGGAATGTATTCAATTATCTGGAACTCAAATTTTCTATTTGAGCAGTTTATAGTCACTGAAAATAAAGGAGGCCCTTTTAACATTCAGAGCAGTTGTGGGAGAGTTCCTACATAATCACAATTTAGGGAAGATAGCTTCCTAGATTTGGATTCAGAGTTTGGGTATCAATAGTCAGTTCCTTTTGGCCCTTAAACCATTCTTTTGGTCATACTTCAGGAAGTAATAATGTATAGGCCAACATGCCCTTAAAAATACTGCATGTAAAAGTTCAGCTGTTTCTCACAGTTTTCAGCTTTGTGTTATCAGTGATCAGTATAGTATCTGGCACTTAGTAAATATTCTTTAAATGAATTGTTTTAGTATCCCATGGAAATGCTTGCAATAAAGGTAGCATTATGCTTTGCCTTTCCCCATTCCTCTTGAATTTTTTTTATGTTGCCCAATAAGCACTCATAGTTTGTTTTTTGCTGTCTTTATCTTCTCATTGAATGATATCTGCAGTGATTTAGAACTTTTTGAATAGGTGAATACAGTAATAATGCTTGGACAATTCACTTTTTGATGCTGCTGTAATTTTTAATCCAGAAATACCTCTTTTGCTTCCCCTTCATAAGGTGAGGACTGACTGTAGCCTATTAATGAAAATTCCCAGTACCATTCACTGAATGTCCTTTGTGTGTAAGGTACTCCTTTGCTCGTTATGAAGAGATACAAACATGAATTGTACACAGAACTTGCTGCCACGGAATTGAAATCTGGTTGGGATACGCATATGTACTACATAACTATAGTATAGGTGGGATTGTGGTCTCTGCTCTAGTTGAGGTAAAGGCCTAATTTGGTTGTACTTCAGAGGAAGGAGTAATTAATTCTGATTGGCTGTCTATGGGTGAGCATTTGATGTAAGCATTCATGCATGAGATGGAAGTTGAAGTCTTGAACTATATATAGGAATTTGACAGGTGGTAAAGGTACAAGGATTCAAGGAAGAATGACCAGCACAAGCTGCTTGGAGGTGGGAATGTGTATGGACTGTTTGAAAAAATGGCAAGGAATCTATTATGTGGAGTAATGTTGAATCTGTGAGAGTGATAGGAACTGAGTTAAAAGGAGAGCTTGGAACCACATTGTGAGGGGTCTTGTTTTTTGTTAAGTAATTCTGTCTTTCTTCTGCAGAAATAATCAAAGCTTTTTGAGTAGGCCACTGACAGTAAGATATTTGTTAAGTTTCAGAGAAAGAATGGAAGACATTAAATGTAGTCGAAATTGAAGATGATGAGGAAGGCTGGGGTCTGTGGGGCTTGGAAGGAGGGCTTGATACCAGAGGCCTGGGGTAGGTCCACTTCAAGGCCTGTGGGTTGTTAATCTGTCCAGGGTGGTGCAGCAGCGTCTTGGCTCCCAAGACAGGGCACGATGCAGTTTTGAGCCTTCTTTCCACCTAGATCATTTTGGAAGTCTGGAACATGCCTCCCTTTCTCACACCTGGGAAATAAATTATTTTAGCCTGAATTCTAGAAGAAAGCAAAAAGAGAAAAGGGTTGATTGATTGTTGAGTGAGTCAAGGATCTCTGCACATTTCTTCGACTCCCCTTTGTAGTTGGAATTTTGGTGGGATTTTGGTTTTCTGTCCTTTGTGGACTCTCGGTTCATCTCTTTGAAGTAGAACTCGCTATTGCCCTCTCTTTGAGACCCAGGTTAAATGTTTTGTAACATTTGTCACTCTGTATTGTAATTTTATCCAGGCCATAGACCGGAAACTATTTGGGTCATCTTAATATCACAAAACACTCAGCATAATTTTTAGAATACTCATTTAATAAGTGCTTGCTGTATAAAGGAAATTTGTTTATGCTTTGCAGTCACACAGACCTTCCTACTCTCTGCACACGCAAGGCGTATTTCATCTTGTTGTGCCTGCTGCCTGGAAAGCTTTAGCTCCAGATCTGCATAGCCCCTGCCTCTCTGCCTCTGCTTTTTGTGTAGATGCCCTCTCATCATCAGCTAGGTGTTCTCTGACAACCCTGTTTAGAATACTGCCCTTCCCCAATCCCAGTTCTCAGCAGCCCTTAGCCTTTATTACCCTGTTATTTTTCTTTATAGCACCTGCTGTCATCTGATGCACAATTACTGTATTTTGCCATATAATTTGTGGTTTTCACCCAAATTTTTGAGGTAAAAATAAGGATGCGCATTATACATGGGGATAATGATCACATACCATGGGTATAATAATCGGTACAATAATCCCATGTGGGACGTGCACAAAAACATGGGTGCCCATTACACACGGCAAAATATGGGTATCGATGATTGTCTTTTTACTCCACGTAGAAAGGCATTCCTATGATAACATTTGTTTTGTTCCCTAATTTATCTGCAAGCACTTGGAACAATGATGGACACAGTAGGCACAATAAATATTTACTAAATGAATGAATGGTAAAAACCAGACTGAAAGAATAATAAACATTCATCTGCAGGTTTGTTTATAGGTTTATGCAAGGGATGGCATTATAACTTTTATAATATTTATATCAAATTAGTATTGCTTACAGAAAAATATAAACAAACTCTATTTTCTATAGATTGTGCTGTGAAATCTAATTATGGATTAGTATTTGATTTAAAAATATTTGAATGCCAAGCATATCCTGCAAAAAAAAACACAAAAAAAACAGTTTTATTATCCATGCCAGCTTAATTTTTAAGGCAGTGAAATGGAAGAGTGTTATTTCAGCAAGCAACTTATTTTCATTTGTGAGAATGGAATATTTTGAATATTCTAATTGATTTTTGAGGATGACTTTACCAAAAAAAATGCTTCTTTCTGTATAGTGTATATTTGCCTTTAAAGCAGTTGAAAACTAGGAACAGGCTTGGTAAATATTTGTCGAGAAAGGTGGAAGCTAGTAATTGATTTGATAAATGTTTGGAGGAGGGTCAGTCAACTCTAATGTAAAAGGTAAATCTTGTGATGTGCAAAACTTTAAAGAACTATTTTAAAAATCATTTTATAGGTATATTTAAAGTTTGCAAGGAGATTGCAGACTGTTTATCATAAGCTCAAGGTTCTCTTTTATGCTGAAAATTTGCTTGGATATTTTTCCAGAAATCTTAAGTCTGTAATTTGGTAGTAAAAAAGTTGGTTATCAAATCAATATTATTGTATGTCTTTCAGTGTCATAAGAATTCCCTTTTGGAAACCCATAAAAGCCCATTTTTTTTCTCACCGTACACTTTATCTGCATTTCCCATAAGGTCAGAGTACTGATGGTGGAGGTGATCTGCTCTGGGATGGAGAGTTGAGTCCACGAAGTGGTGATGAAGTGAAAAAATGCCACAGGGATCTTTCTGAAGATTAGGGTTCTTTTCATACCAGCTTAGTGAAAATTTTAAAATATGTTAAGGTATGTATTGATAGGTGTATGCATTGTATCCCATTAAGCACAGGTGAAATGATATACTAGTCTGTAATTTTTGTGTTTACATATTTCACATTTTTATTAGTATTTTTATTTTTCCTGGAAGTGAATTCTTAATTACAAGTATGCTTTTCCTTTAGGTTGTTTTCTTTTTAGAGTTGTAAGTTAAGTTTTTCAGCATAGATGATTTCAAAAATGAAGTGCTTGCATTGGAAAACAATGCCAGAAATGTTAGTTTTCATTACTTGAAAATAAAATGTGGTGTTTAAATTGTAAAAAGTACTAGAATCTGGAGGTTCCATTTGAAACTATTTCACTACCAAGTCGAGTTGCTACTGGGTTAATATTTATTAATTATCCATTTACCATTATATGCATAATTATGCATATAAACACAGGAAAAAACTCAGTGGTTATGAGAGGAGACAGTCTTTTAAAATTTCAAGACTGTGTTTCTAGTAGTAGAATATCCAGTCATTCCGTTTTTATTTTTTTTTAACGTGTAACACATATGGATGATTATGCAATAACCTTTTTCTACTTTCTTAATATAGACACTTAGGAAATTAAGTGTGAAACTAGAAGTTCTTTTCAATTGTATTCACCTTAATTAAATATTTTCTCTTATTTCAAGAGCCGTAACTAATTATTTAAGGCCCAAATTAATTTTGACATTTCACTTGAAATTTGAAACTTTGAGTTTGCACTATGCTTGCCCATGTTCCTATTCAAAACTATAAGTACCAGAATGGTATCTTAGTTTCTGAAACACTTGGTCAAAGTACAGCTCCAGATCTCTTATATATAAATAAAGGTCTTGATCTGTTTGCAATTATATAATAATTCAAGTACATTTTTTAAAATTAATTATTTTATTTTATGCTTTAGACAAGCTATTTACAAAATCAAATTATAGTGTTTGTGAATAGCTATAGCCCTATTAGTTTAACCCTTGCTGATTAGCTTTTTAATACATTTTTTATAGCAATAGTAGTTAGAATAAAAACTAGTAGTTAGAATTGAAAACTACATGCAAGCTTGTGGAGGGGAGTAAGCCTTCAGTAATTGGCGTATTTCAACTAATTTGGCCTCCTTCCCTAAAGTTAAGGAAAATTTAGACATTCTTTTAATTACAAGTTGAAACATATTCAGTGATGATAACTTGAAGAATAAAATGAAGCACAAAGAGAAAAAGAAATCACTCATGATTCTTCCATAAATGATTATATATACCTGTGTGCACATGTGCTGTCTCATGGTTATATGTTCATTTCATCATATGTTTTTATACATGCCTCTCCTGCATTTGTGCAAGAGTGAAACATATCCCATGCCAATAAATATTCTTCATTATGATTTTTTATTATAATTATTTAGTCACAAGAGATCCTTTTTGTTGGATATTTTGATTTCAATTTTGGGCAAAGACTTCAATAAAGATTCTGACAATTTCCAGGGTTATTTATTAGAAGTGGTATTGTTGAATCAGAAGATACACAGAGTGTAGTAGATAGCAGCTTCTTTTCAGGATCTGACATGGGTCCTTTTAAATTCACAAACTATTCTCTTCTACTTTGTAGATGGCTGAAATTTTATCACTTGTTGCTCCTGGGAGAGGTAACTGATTGCGCCTAGCAGGCATTTTCTCTGAACCATGTGAAGGAATTCATTTTTCATTTAGTTCTTGCAAGTAAAGTTTCAAAGTAACATGGGGCAAGGGACAAGTGGAATGAATGATGAAGGGAAACTAAGTATTCCTTTACAATTCTACTAAGATCAATTGAACAACTGTTATATAAAATCCAGGATTTTATGTACCTAGTTTTGGGAGTTTAGTTATAATCTCTCTCTACAATGATACAGGCTGTTTAACTGTGAATGCTAATTAATCCAGTAGAGAGACTTCTGGTCCCAGATATGGTGCATATATATGCCGGATAGAGATGCAAGAGGGAATTAATGAACTCCTAAGCAACCTTACTCTGTTTGAACACTGTTTGCAAAGTGTGAAATTACTTCCTTAAGAGATGATGAGGATGCAAAGTGTGGTTTTGGGTAGGTTGCAAAGAATACCCTTTAGTATAGGGTCTCTGCTTCATTAGACAAAATATTTTATCTTTGGACTGTTCCTTGAAAAAAACAGGTTGATAAAGAGATAATAGTGACAGACAAGGCTGCTAAATAGATAAAAGTCATAGTGCTTGCTCCAACCAGAAAACTTTGAGCTACTGCTACTTATCTTTCATCCAGTGGGGACTTGTGTGTCGGATGATATGGGCAAGTCTGTGCTTCCTTTGCAGATACCATGGAGAATAATAGATCTTCTTGAAATTATATACTGTTCTCTTTGTATGCCTTTTCTTTACTCAACAGTCTTAATCCTAAATATCTACAGGATTTTAAAATCCCAGTCTATTATCAGACTTACTCTTTTTCTTAAAATAGTGGGTAGCTAATAATATGCCCCTTGTGATATTTAAAAATAGTGACACAGCTCTCATTACCACATCTATTAGCCCCAGATTTACTTAGCACCAGTCTAAACTGGGCTTCTAGGCTTTTTAAAATTTATCATTATCATCCTCTAGAGTCTATCCAGTTTTTCTAGTTTTGGCCTCCTGAACTCGAAGCAAATTTCTTAAGACCATTGACAAATCAGAGCGTTCTTGAAAAATATGTGGCAATTGGAAAAGACCAGCTGGAAAAAATAAATAGAAGGAAATATACTTTTAACTAATCCTGCTCCTAATAATTTAGCATATTCATGTGGAACTTTGGAGATGAGAGAAGTGTCAGTAAATATTTTAATTGGTATACAGCTTTAAACGTGGTTTTATTGATTTGGGTCTTAACAGATTCTTACACTGCTTCATCTCATACTTCCTTACACCATGTAAAAGCTTTGTTACTGCAGGGTGACTTTCATTTATATAAAATGACTTTAAAAATATTACAGGTGTCTAACATTGGTACTAAGCACATATATCTCTAGCGCTTTAATCCTGTATGGAAATTTCTCTTTCTTCTCCCAGATGTTTACTGATATATATTTTTTTGCTTCCTAAGCTGCTAGGATTTTGCATTGCTTTTAAGTGGATTTCCCCTCACTGATAAATAGATTCAGTTGTGAGATTATGTCCTTTCATTCTTCAATGACAGTGAATAAATCCAGAACTTTATACTTGGTGACATTTATTTGAACTCACAAAGAGAATGCCACTCATGTTTGCTTGGGTTGTTGTACTTCAAATAGGTCTGTTTGTGTGTTAGAGTAACCCTGCTATTTCTGTTTCAGAATTAACGGTAAAAGTGTGATATGTGCCTCCCACTTGGAGAGGGCAGCTTCTTGACAACTTTTTATTTAGTTAATATGGATTAAGTTCTTAAAAGATGTTAGTGAGACTCACTAGTGCCAGGATATTTAAGAACATTTGTCATTTTATTTTAAATTTATGTGATATATATATTTATAATCAGCTTGCACAAACCAAGTTGGTGTTAACTCTTGACAGAAACCAATGTAGGGTAGCACGATTAATGCTTCTGTCCAATAAAAGACACCAGTCTAATGATTCAACCAGTTGAATTCTTCCAGATGGTAGACTTGACCGTCAGCATGTTAAATATTCTTGTAGCACCCAGTCAGTCAGAGAAGATAGTTGTCCATGGCATAAAACATGGCTTCTAAACCCCTCAGCAGGGCTGTTGGCAGAATGTTTTCCTTAGAATGAGTTGTGACCTTTCAAATATACTAAGATGCTGGGGTGTGAAGGATAGGGTTGTGACGTCAGGGGAGGGATGATTATGCAGGATTCTGGAAGGAATCACAAGAGATTAGAATAAAAGTTTTGATTGTTTACCACCCTAACTACATGGTATTCAGTTTTGTGTGACTTATACCACTGATGTTCTAGATTTAAAAACTATTAGGAATTATTATAATATATATGTATAATATGATATATATAATAAATATAATTAAACATTATAATACATTTATTATCTTATAGTGACATTCATATTTCATATGCTTATAAATATATGCTGTGATATATCATTTACATAATAAGTTATTAAACATTAATATTTAATCCCAAAACTTCAAAGAGTAGAAAATAGAGGCACCTTTTACTTATGTCATATCGTGTGCCTGCAGTGAAGTATAATGAGAAGATGTATGAATGAGGGGTCAGGAGATCCTTGCTCTCCCTTATTTTGTGATGCCAGCATTCTCCACTTCTTCCTCTATAAAAGAAAGGTGGTGGGATGACCGCAGCAGCATTCCTCCCAGCCATGAGTTTGTGATACACTCGGGCTTCTCTACTTAGGTGTCTGTCCAGATGTGTCAGGTCACCCAATGTCTCCCACTGAGCTGATCTGCAGCCCCTTTCAGGAAGGTGGAAGCCATGGAGAAATGCCATCTCTAGAGAGCAAATATATCGTTCGTCTTGTCAAACATTTAGAAAATGAATAATTATTGGCAGAAAATATTTTAAAATGTCTTTTTTCTTCCTTGTTAAATAAAAGCCTAATTACTAACTGTGGAGTGGGATCTCCAGATTGATGGAGAAGGAACTGGCATCTCATTCTACTTCACTCTAGTATTAAACTCCAGTGATGACAGATCAAACACATTAAAAAACTGCAAGTGATTTTCAAAATTCATGGATGTCACAGATATCAAACTTGCATTGGCCTAGGATAGAATTGCTTATGGTGTTTCAATTCTTTTATCATTGTTACTTCTATTGTATTAGTACATTAGGATAAACACTAATCTACATAAAAATGTATTGTTTTTCTGATTTCTGTGAACAATAAGCTAAAGAATTATTATTTAAAAAAGGAATACAAGGGGGTCCCAAGGAAAACCTGGAATTATCTTCTGGAGGGTGGACCCCTTGTAGTATAGGCTTTCCTCACTAGGTGTGTGTTCTAGAAGCCCATCTGTATCAGTGTACCAGCTGGTGTTGTTGTGAGAGGCTGCGTTTGGCTTCAGTGAATTTTTTTTTTTAAAAGGCTCTTTGAACACATTTGCCCACGTCATGATGGGTGATTTACAAGCGTACCTGCCCACACCACACTGAATATCCAGCAGTTTTTGACCAAAAACAGCACCCTTATTCCCCACCCTTCAGATTTACCTGATGTCTCCCTGAGCAATGGTTTTTTGTTTCCACCGATGAAAAAATTCCTCTAAGGAAAACATTTTGCTGACATGGAAAGGTGAAACAGAGAACAGCAGAAACACTAAAGGAATCAAAATCGACAGGCTTAAAAACTGTTTTGAGCAGTGGAAAAAGCATCTTGATAGGAGTATTGCATCAATAGGAGAGTACTTTTGCAGTGACTGAAATTTAAACATGTGAGAATAAATACACAGCTTTTTATAAATAAATTCCATTTTTTTTCATTCCCCCCTCATATAATAAAAATATGTTTGGATATGCTGGCTGCTGATTTAGTTAGACTTCAGGAACAATAGGAAATCACTAGGAACAAATATAGTGCTGTCTTGGGACCTGTGCTAAGTGAAAGCAATGCTACTTTCCCCCTGATTTGCAGTTCAGCTCTACAAAAACTTAGTGACATTCATTATATGCCAGATCATGGAATAGCCCCCAGGAAAATAATATGGTCCCCATCCTCCAGATACTTGCAGTGTCATAGGCAATGGAAGGACATGGAAATAGAGTGAGGCAAATATAATGATACTATTATACGAAGTAGAAAGGAAGCTGTGCTTAAGAGAAGTTCAGGGAGAGGCTTCGTAGAATTGATGATTCATGAGCAGAAATTTTAAGAAAAGTTCATTAGGTGAACACGAAAAGAAGGCTAACGGAAAAGAGATAAAGGTTTGAAGTCATAGAAATGTAGCACAGCTGCGTGAGTGTGAGTGCTTGGTATTGCTGCAGTGAAGAGTCAGAGGAAGTGAGGGCAGAAGGATTGAAGTGGGAGAAGGGGGAGCAAGGCTGTAGTACAGAGAAAGGAAGGAAGGAAGGAATGAGCCAGAAAAGGAAAGTGTTAACTGCATCATGTAGGACCTTGGGTTCTTATCTTTATGTGAAATGGAGAGACATTGAAGATGTTTGAGCATGACACTTTAAGATCAGATTTGCATTTTGGAAGATTATTTGTGGCTGGCTTCTGGTGAATGGTGTGATGCAAACTGGATTGTATGGTAGTGTGGAGATGTAGTTAAAAGTGTAATGCAATTAGGGTAGTTCAAATGAATGAATGAGATGATTTTGTGGTATAAAATTTTCTGTGAATTCATACATATACAGCCACATTTTAAAATGTCAGCACATTGAAAATATTTTTAGTATTCAGTAGAACTAATTACTGCTACTTTTATAGTTTGAAGTTCTTTGTGAAATTAATAGTAATGGCAAATTGAAAGAGGGTTAGTATTTTGTCACTGAAATTAAACCAGTAAACTCACAAAAATGTTCATAGTTATAATTTTGCTATGTAACATAGAATGTAACTTTACAAAAATGTAAGGTAATAAATTATAATATATACACATCTAGTTGTGGAAATTATGTATATTTGAAAACAAGTGGATGATGTCTTAGTGCAGGTACATGAAATTGTTTGTTGAATTTGCATTTGTTACTGACAGTCATTACCCAGACTTTGTATTAATTCAAGTCATGGAATCAGTGACTGATATTTTTAAGCAGAATGTTAAATTCCAAACTGAAAAGGAATGAAAATATTTGTTAGGGAAAATTAAATAGCCATATATGCAGATCAAATTGTAATTTTGAAAAGAGTGTGTAAATCATATAACTGGAAAAGTACACTTTAAAATAGCACACTTGTTGAACACCTTCTGTTTGCTAAGTGTTGGGGATAGGCATTGCTTTGACTGAGCAAGGTGAAGTACAGTTTTATTAGTGAAGAGCATCACTGAGTTGTTGAGACTAATAATTTTGTGGAACAACATTATTAAGAAAGGCAATATGATATGCATATCAGATTGTAATTTTGGAAAGAGCTTGCAAATAATATAATTGGAAAAGTACATTTTAAAGTGGTTTTAAAGTGTCTCACAAAGAATATGGCTCTAAGTCTTCTTACTAAATTTTACATAAATCCCTAGTTCTTAGTTACCACAGCAGGAAACAAATGTCAGAGTTGAAGAAATATGAACATCTGTGATATTGTGGGGGAATAAAATATTAGAGAGCTACATCTTTTTCATTATGAACCCAATTTTTTAACGTTGCTGTTTCAGTACACATAGTAGTGTACAAGTTATCATACACCGTAGGTTGTACGTCCTGTAATCAAATAGTAATATAATGGTAAGCTTGCATGATACCTTTTCTTCAATTCAAACTAGTGCTCAGGAATCTGATTCATTCCTTACTATTAGCCAAACTTTAATTATGTAGAGTACTATCAGTGCCTATAGTTTTTGGATTGCAAGGATATTACTCTGCATTTGAAGCCAGATTATATTTCAGTCTTCAGAAATTATATCGAGGTTTCAGGAATTAGGATGAATTTGTTGTGCCTGATTTTTAGAAGTTTTTAAAAAATAACTTTGTCATAGCATTTATCTTTGTCTTTCCCCCCATATAATAATTAAATGTAGTGTAATACTTTGAGGAAACTTTTTTTTAGGTAAATGTATTTTTACTACATATTCATCTTTCATAGGTTCTGTTAGGGGAATCAGTGGTGACATATTTCAAAACAAAAGTCTTTTCATGCTTATTTTTTACTATTTAATGAGATTTCAGGTATATTTTAACAACTGGGGTTTCCCTGATGAATCATTGAAGTAAGTGAGTGGGCTGGAAGGTAACACTAACTTTTCTCAGTACTGCCCTATTTTATTCTACTGGGTTATTAGCTGCTTTTTTAAAATAGAACCTGGTGTGTTGGAGTTGGTGGGTGGAGGTGCAGAAGGAAAGGGGTCAGTGAGAAAATACCAGGTAAACCTCTGATGACCTATTGGGAAATCCTACTCAAATTTTACTTTCCCCAGCTTAAAGCATTTAGTGTTTAAGCTCACTGTAGTTTTTGCTCTGCCAAGCTTAATTTTCCAAATGTTGTATATAGGCAAATTGAAAAAATATTTTTAGCCATTGATAGAAATTTAAGGTATCAAACCATGTATATATTAACCTGCGGAATCAATTTCTCATGTGTGTGGGATTAAAACTGTTAAAACCATCATCACTGAAACTATACCTTCCTACAACCAATAGCAGTAAGGTGTCTGTGGAATATATTAATACAACAATTCCTCTGATTTAAAAATTTTACTTGGTATCTGGTTGGAAATTTTTTAAATATTATAGGTAACAGAATTGACATCATATGTGAGAGCTAACTGCAGGTTTTTAGTGTGATTTAGGATCAGTTTTTAAAAGTCCACATGATTTGTTTATACTTAGCACATCTTTTTCAATAAATCATTGACATATTGCAATTTTCCTTTACCTATTCTGTTAAAAAAAATACTCAACTACCACAGCAGTTGTAACTACTAGAGGAGGTAGACAGAAAAATGTAGTTCACCTTGAAAATGATCATGGCTTAGGGAATAAAGAAATTGGGTCAAGCTGAAAATAAATGCAGGTACAATGACAAAAAGATTTAATAAAAATTTTAAAATATTCCTAGCATTGGTTTCAGGCCACTTTTGTTCTAAGCGGTCTTATCAATACATTTTCAGTTTTTATTTGAGATGATTTTAATGGCACTTGTTCATTTTGGTCAAAATGTTTGTATGAAATGCTATTGTGATTTTTCACTTCCCATCCCCTTTTAATTATAAATACAGACTGTTTGGAAAGGTAGATAATTCTTAGTTCATTTTGACCTCTGGTGGTTTTAAATAGAATTTGAAGTTATTTAAAATTTCTATGTTATAGCTGTCACTTTGACTCATTTTATATTGCAAATTTAATGTGTAGCGTTTAACCATGTATCATTAAATCATAGTATTGATAATGAATTAAACTTCCATAAAACTTTAATAGTATAGTAGATTCTCATTCATTGGTTTCACTGAAGAATAAAATATGGTGAAGAAATGAGTTTTTTTTTTAAAGAAAACTGAAGCTTACTTGTTTAAGCCGAGAAACTTAATAGTTGCTAAAATTTTTCTGAAACATTTTATGTGCTCTTTTAGGGGAGCAAGAATGGATTCACCATTTACTCTTTTCTCAATGTCATAAAATATTATTATATTGTCATGCAGAAAGGATCCGTATTTGTTTCCCAATGTAATTTTTTTTTCTTTTGCTGTTTCTTCCTTTCAAATGCCACACCCTTATTTGGATAGACTTACACAATTTAAATGCTTCAAGCTTTAATATCTGTGATTGTATATGTTCTGATGGTTTAATAGATTTATTCACCCTGTGACCTATGTAAGACATTAGTCTGCATGCAGGCTCACCCACCATCTTTGACAAACATTTAGTCACTGCCGTAAAGGAGACTCTGCCGTAAAGGAGACGTTGCTTTGGAGTAAGTACTCTCAGTGTTGATTGAGGCCCTGCTCCTGCTGCTCCCAAGGACTTACTCTAGTACCATTGCTAGTGGTGCAAAAATGTCTGATTCACCTGACTTGCCTGTGAGCATCTGTGTTGTCAGAATGACCAATTGCAGTTTTCTGAGAGTATTGCTAAAATGGGCAAATAATGTACTCCCTTTATCCTCTATCAAATTCTAGCATAACAGCAAAAAATCCTATTTTAACAAAGTTTTTTTTAGCCTCATGCTTGTTTCAAGCAGTATTTTCTAAAACAAAATGAAGCACAGCTTTAGTATTTGAACTGTTTGTTAACATGCGGTAATGACATTTGGTTTGAATCTTATGTTTAAAAATCAGCTTTTTGCTTGTACCTAATGGGGATAATCTCTCTTCCAGGTGTGCTTTAAGAAGAAGACCATAGAAAAGAAGAACACATTTTCTTCTTGCCACAAAAATTGCAGTAGAAAAGTAAGTGGGGGAACTGCCAGGATAGGGCTGTCTCCACAAAACAAGCAGGACAAATTTCCATGAATCAAAGCCACTAAGTATAGTTTTCAGAGATGGTAGGACATAGTTACTTTCCCTAGAAAAATACCCAAAATGCAGACACACCCATTGGCCACTAAGAAAATGCTCCAGTAAACGCTAGTTCAAACCTGTACATTTCACTCTTCTTACTGAGCTATTAAAGGGGTGGAAATCTCCTATAGCTGTATCTTTTTTCCCCTTCTCTATTTTTCAGCCTCCCACATGCTTGGTGTTAGTTCTGCTTGCTGATTGTCTTGAATCTACAGCAGCACCTACACATACTGCCTCCACAGTTTGCAGATAACTCATGATTCAGACTCATAGAAACATCTGTAACTATATGGCATAATATGTGCTCTAGATTAATCATGGAAAAGGGCAAAATAATGAAGAATCAGAAAGCTTTTTTCTCTTCCACTAATATTGATGTTGCTTTCTTTGAGGTTATATGAGTGAAATATTCTTTAGAGTGGTTTATATCACATTCTATCACTTGAGGAAATATCTCAGGACATTTTTACTAGAGTCTTTCAGAGACCTTTTAAGAATATATGGTGCATATATACCTTAGCGTGGTTAGGTCAGAGGAAATAATGCAAGATAATAGATATCTGTGTTGTGATCTAGTAAGCAAATTAATGTTAAACTGCTTTTATTCTTCCTTTAAACCTTTGATATAATTTTCAGAATTGCCTTTTATTGTTCTCTCTAGTTACTTTCTAGAAGTTTTCATCATTTGAGGGAATAATGGCTACAATTTTGTTAAATGTGGAAGTATTTTTTAACTTACTGAACTGTGTCAAGAGTTGAAGTTTCCAACTAGCCTGAAAAAAATTAAGCCTCCGCATAGCTAAGCCTCTGCATAGCTTCCTTCTTAGCCACAAAACCTGTGGGGCTTTTAAAATTATATTTGAAGTGAAAGCTGCTGATGAGGAATGGGTGACCCCCACTGCATTCAAAATGCTTGTGTATGTCCTTCCCACTTGTCCTTGATGGATAGGAAGGAGGTCACGACTGAAAATTACTGGAGGATTTGAAGGTATTCATTCTCCTTAAGTAGGACACTTTATGCTTGTAATGGGAGGGACAAAATACTTATTACTGATTGTAGACTACTAGGCTTCAGTTTCATCTTCACAACCACCTCTGTGGTTAGTATTGTTGTCCTCACTTTAGAGAAGGTGATAGTGAGTCCTACCAAGTTAGGTAGCTTGACCAAGGTCATACAGCCAGGAAGTGACAGAGCTGAGCTTTGAATTTGTATTTCCCTGATCCCAGGGTCCATGCCTTTTCCACTTGAAGAATACTGTTTCTTAATTTGTAGATAATTGAAATATGTGTTTGTGTATTTTTCCAAAAAAATGCTTACTAAGAGATTCAGAGATCAGAAAATAAGCTTTTATTCATTTCTGGCATTTTTTTGAAAACCATTTGAGACATTTTGCTTTGAAATGCAGTTTAGGCATTGCTTTGAGCAAGGTGAAGTACAGTTTTATAGTGAAGAGCATCACTGAGTTGTTGAGACTAATAATTTTGTGGAAAAACATTATTAAGAAAGCAATATGCCATTTAATGAGTGGTATTTACTTCTGTAATAAAGGAAAATTCAAACATCTGGAATATTTTTTAAACAATGTAGTGTTTATGTTTCTTCCTTACTTCTAACAGGAAATAGCATATAATTTAAAATGTACATAAAAGTTTTTATATTCATGCATACATTTTTATTTCACTAGCACATTAACAAAAGTCATATTATTCAAATAAAAATTTTCTTGATAGCCAGTTCTCTACGATGAAAATTTACCATGTTTTTCATAATAACATTATCTTTCTTTATGGATTTGTTGTTTAAAGAAGGGTAGTGGAAATCTTGCTGGTTAATAGGCGTATAGCTTTACTCCACGTTTTTGGTCTTTCTGTGGAAGTGGGATATATACAATTGTGAGGAAGTGATCAAGGTTTGTTCAGTGTCTCCAGAAATTATATCTTAAGATTTATGACACTAGAGAATTAAAATTTGAATATGAATGTGCTTTCTTATAAATATGCATTCATTGGAGACTTTGATAGCTGCTGCATTTAAAAATGGATTACTGTATTTTGCCGTGTATAATGCACAGTTTGGGCACGAATTTTTGATAGAAAAATAAGGATGTGCATTATACCTGGGTATAATGATCACATACCATGGGTATAATAATGGGGAAAATAATCTCATGTATAATGTGCACAAAAATGTGGCTACATTATATGGGGCAAAATATGGTAATATGAGAATTACAGAATCAGAGAACGTCTGAGCTGGAAAGGGCTTTACAAATGAAGCGCTCTCGGAGTGGGAGACTGTCCAAGACTGGATGCAGTTCTAGGCCATGCCAGTTCTGAGTCTAGTGAGTCAGATCAAAGCCGTTTCAACTAGGAAAGGACCTAAACTTCCTAGAGTAGGAGACAAAACTGAGTCACTGTGGAAGTAATCTCAGGGCATGAAGAAAACAGAAATCAGAAAATTGGAACATCCTTTATGTCCTCTTATTTTAAAAAGTGGGGACAAAACCTATTTTTTTAAAATTGTGTTTGTAAATTATTTATATTTGATTTCTGGGTATGATCTTTTAACTTATTTTTATTTAAAAATCTTTATACACATATACAATATATTTGAAAATATATATTTTTTGCTTATTACCTAGAATCTGTGACAGTTTGAAGGGCTGATGAGTACTCTTATCATCGAAGCATTCTATGGAGGGTCGCATAAACAGCTCGTGGACCTTCTCCGAGAAGAGTTGGAAAGCTGTGTTCTTTATACTCTTCCTGCAAAGAAGTGGCATTGGCGAGCACGGACATCAGCTTTATACTTCTCTCAGAATATTCCCATCAGTGAGCATTACAGGTAATTAGAGCTGAGGCTGCATCTTCAGCCTATTGTTTGTTTTTTTTTCCTCACCTGAGGACATTTTTTCATTGCTTTTGGGGTAGGGTGTGGGGGGTGGAGAGAAAGAGAAAAAGAGAAAGTGAAGTATCGATGTGAGAAATATCAATTGACTGCTTCTCATAGGCTCCCCAACCAGGGGGGCTCGAACATGCAACCCAGTGTGTGCCCTGATTGTAATCGAACCACAAACATTTGAGTTACAGGACAATGCTCCAACCAGCTGAGCCACACTGGCCAGGGCTTCAGCCTGTTTTTAATGTACCTGTATAAGGATGTTGCTTCTCTGTTGATATCTATGAGATTTTCTCCAACTATGGAATTGGTCAGTATGACTGGTCAGTACAGACAGCAGAGCAGCAGAGTACGTTATACTCTGAGGACTACAGGTTGATAGAAAAGTAACCTTATTTATTTGTTTGTTTATTTTAAAATATTTCTTGATGTCCTTTTAAAAAATAATTGTTCTTTTTTTAGGTTTTGTTTATGTATTTTTTGATAGAGAGGAAGAGAGGAGAAAAACATTGGTAGTTGCTTCTCCCATGCCCCCACCTGGGGACCTGGCCTGCGTCATAGGCATGTGCCCTGACCAGGAATTGAACCAGCAGCCTTTTGGATCAGGGGCTGGTGCTTACTGTACTGAGCCACACCAGCCAAACAGTGACTACGTCTAGAACCTACATGTCTTTTCTCATTTGTCTTATGATTTTATCACAGGCACAAGTATGGGTATGGATGACACTTTTTGGCCTGATAGAGTTGATCTTGGGCCTGTTGGGTTTTTTTCCTTGTCTTTTCTTTTTTTTTTTCTTTTGGTTCCATAACCTCCAACACCTATTTTAGTGAGTATGCTGTTTTAGTTTATCATGCCTGCTCTATAGTAGGAGCTAACATTTTAAAGATGGATATGACCAAAGTCTCTGCCCTTACAGTATTTAAAAACTATTGAGATAGAGATAGACATGTGCATGCAATGAGAGTACAAAAAATACAGAAGTTGTTTTTTTACCATGACAAACTAGAGGTGGCGTTATATAGTTGGCAAACTTTGCTTAATCTTGAAGAATGGGTAGATTTGGGGGACACAGACCTCACTTATGAATTCTGATTTGTTATGAAGTGGGAACTAGGGTCATCTATTAGAAAGTCTTATGGGACACATTAAAAAAATGGATGAGAAATACTGATTAGAGTTTTAGGAGGAAAATGTAGAATGGAATCCCCTCGAACATTTATACCTCTTTATTCTCTTTTTGAATGTACTGCCAAGTGTCTCCTGATTGGTGAACAGTGGAAGATTTCACTGCCATGGTTTATATATCTGAGGTTCTTGCCATTCTGGGTAGGACTGCATAGGTTTAGGCAGGAGCCAGGAGTACCAGGCTGATAACTAATGCAGTTAGGGCAGACAGGTTGTTAGAGAAAGGGCACCTGGCGAACTGCAGTGCCCACCTTGGCTTCAGTCACTGTACCTATATGCTGCTTGCAAGGTGGAGCAGTCACAAGGGAGACAGGAGCTTGAAATTTAAATATAGTTGCTGTTTTTTGTAGTAATGTGGGGAATTCAGAGAATAACCCTTTTGGTGAATGAAAACCATTCATCATCTTTGAGAACTCAGATTGTCAGGTAGAATAGAAGTGAGCACTAAGGTCACATTGCTTGGGATTTTAAAGGTAAATGCTGTTTTGGGGTATATTGAAAATTTTGTAACTTTTCTAACCTCAACTGCATTTTTCCTTACATGATTTAACATTTTGTATTCTGACATTGCTAAGTGAATATTGTTGATTCACTAAGAGTATGAGAAATCTCAATGAATGTATCAATATAAAAGTTTAAAGACAGTGATAAGACTATTGCTGTGTTAAAGTCTGTTTATAGTTGCTTTCACATCTCCTTTGTTTCCACTGCACCAGTGGTATTTTACAAGAGGTCAAGTAGTCTGGTTGAGTTTATGGCACATTTTCATTTAATGTTACCATTTGATAAAATAAATTTCTACAGTAATTCAGACATTGAAATGAACCATTGCTATATCTCTCTGCCATTAGATTTCATTTTGATTATGCAGTTTTTCAGGGTGAAATGATTGTATTACAACTATATGTGTGTGGATAGCATGCAAACAAACCCTTCTTCGTCCATGGCTTCCCCACACCCTTTTAGGCCTGAAGCATTTGAGGTTAATCACCATATTGCTCTTTGAAGCTGTTTTATTTGGGGAGTAGATTTCTGAAAGATCGAGGTGTAATGTTTTACTCGTTCACAGCCAGAACCTCCAGGTCTGGTGTCTGTGATCTTTCAAGGACAGCCAGGTGAGCCATGCAGTTACCTGTATTAATCTAATCAGACTTCATAAAGGACCTGCCTCAGCAGCTTAACTTACAGTCATAGTTGGCCAGTGGTGACATGTGCTCTTTACCAAACAACTTTTCTGAATACTTTTGGACAAACAGTTGCATCTTGGACAAATAGTTGCATCTTGAAAACTTATGCTAAGTTAAAAATATGTTCATGCAATTGTACATTGAAGTGCAAGAATAAACTTTTATTACACCAGATAAATCTGATCTCTGTAGAAACTTTTAAAGATATGAAGAGTTTTTGTTTTCTGATTACTTCCTCTTTGTATATTTGGAAAATGAAATCACCAAAATTCATAAAGAGAAAATGAATAAGCACCAATACTGCCTGCTATGCAAAGTCACTGAGAACAAGTAGGAATGTGTCTGATGAGGAAGATGTTGAATAGAGGTGCATGCTATTTGACAACTTCTGTACATGTAGTAACTGTTATGAGCTTGTTATCTGGCAAATATTTTGTTACTAAAAGGATAAATGCCTCAGCTTAATTCATCATTGGATTCTACTTTATCTTGACAGCTGAGAGGATACACCACAAGTCACATTTTGGGCTGTGTAAAATGTTGTTAGAGATCATAAAACCTCCAGAAATTATTGTTTCAAAAGTAGTCAGTAATTATTATAAGTTTTAGGTAATATGAAAGCTTTGCCTTCTGGAAACTTCACAAAATATAGCAAAATGTTTTTGAAGATGTACCTTAAATTTGTGTTCTGAAATGTATGAGTCATTTGTCCCAGGATTGAGCCTTTCTGTTTTATTAAAATACACCTAGACTATGCATCAAAGACATGTTTCTTTTTGCAGTATCTATACTGAACTGAAAGAATCACTGTTACTTAAAATCGTTTTTCACTCTCAGATGCTTACAGTTCTATGTTCACTCCATCTGAGATATTGTGGCATTTACTGATCATTGACCATTTAACAGTTCTCTGCTGTTAGAAAATCACAGTGTTCTTTGGGGTGGCTAAGTACCCAGCCCCTGGGAGTAAAGCACAATTGACTTAAGTGCATCTTAATGATTCTGTTGCTGCCAAATTTTCCCACCTTTTCTTACAGCTAGGAATAGTCATTCTGTCAGTAGGTTTTGGCAAATTTGATTTAAGTATATGACTTGGGTGTTCTTCCAACGAAGTTTTTTTGTTTTGTTTTTGCTTATGGAAGGAGAAAGCCATCTCTCCTTTCTGCATCTGGATGTGCTTGTGATGTCGGCAACCATGAGGTGAAAAGATGAGGATAAAATGCCTGGGCTGCCAAAAATGGCTGATGGAAGGCCAGGAAAAGCCTGGAGTAGACTTCCATTTTGAGCAATACAGCCACCTAGTCACCTGAAAATCCTGTGTTCTAAAACATTTACAAATGCTCTGTAAAATGTGAGATTTTCTTTTAAATCCATAGTTGAATTGAACAAAGTAAAAGGGGATCTAAAGAGGCATCTGGAAATTAGAGTGGGAAGCTGGCTTTGAAGCTGTGGTTGCCTAATTTTCATAAAAGGAACTGGTTATGTTACAATCTTGAAATGAAATATTGTTTTGCTCTAACCTGAATTAAGAAGCTTTCACTGTTCTCTTTCTCTCTCTCTTTTAAATTCTTACCTGAGGATATACTTAGAGAGGAAGGGAGAGAGAGAGAAACAAAAAGAGAGAGAGGGAAGTATTGATGTTAGAAACATCAATCAGTTGCCTCTGGAATGTTCCCTGACCAGGGATCGAACGCACAACTTTTGGTGTACGGGAGGACACTTCATCCAACCCAGCCACCTGGTCAAGGCTTTCATTGTACACTTACGAGAACTTGTCCAAGACATACTAAGTGACGGAAAATAAGGTGCTAAGCAGTATTATTTATTAGGTGCTACCTTTGGTACAAAGAAAGGAGGTTAGAAGAACAAAACAACAACAGAAGTTGTTGGAAATGAGTGAAAATGGTTGCCTGAGGTCCAGTGTAGCAGGAACTGTCCCCACTCCCCTTCCCCTTTCCCTGTGCCCTGGCCAGCCTCCTGCTGCCAGGATCTGCATCAGGCTGTGAGCAGCTCTCCACAAGTGGTTCTCGCCCTTCTGATGAAATCATTCTGAAGTTTGTGCAGCAGAGAAATCATTAACAGATTCCTAAAAAAAGCCTCCAAGTCAGGAAATGCAGGAGCATGATTCTAAATAACTCATGGGCCACAGAAGAAATCATAATGGATACTAAAAAATAGAACTGAATCATAATGAACATATTGTGTATCACAAAGTGGGTTGCATCTAAAGTGACAGTCACAGCCACATCATCTTTAATAACTCTATTTTTATTTTTTTATTGTGATGAGTAGGGCCCCTGTTACTTGAATCTAGGAGTAGTTCTGGGAAGAAAACTGTAAGAAAAGTAAAAGTGAAATTGAAAGCCCATTTCTAATTGAAATGAGCAAACTCAAAGTAGTTATTTTGAAATAATAAAATAGATAACCCACAGGCATGATTGATTTTTATAAAAAGCCCAATTAATTTTTATTTTATTTTATATTTTTTATCCTCACCCACAGACATACTTATTGATTTCAGAGAGATGGGAATGGAAGGAGAAAGAAAGGGAGAGAAGCATCCGTGTAAGAAA